CCAAAAACACCTCAAAATCACAAAAAAGCTCACAAACACTCAAATGAGGGCTAGGGTTGTTCTTAGGGTTTTAAGAGATGAAGGCTGGTCATAAGAAACCCCAAAGGCAACTTAAGGTGTTTAAATAGGGCACAAACCCTACAAATTAGGGTTTTCCCCAACTAAGCGTACGCCCAACGTATGTGGGTGCCTCCGCGATCATGCATCGAGCCGGTACGCCCATCGTACTCGGCTAGGGGCTAAAACCATCAACCTTCCGAAAGCCATAATTTCTTCGTTCTAAGTCCGATTTCGACGTGCTTTACATCCACAGAAAGGTCATGAGAAGCTCAACAATTCTATCAACTCTCCTTTGCCTTAAAACTTTCTGATCTTAAATCCAAACTTCATAAAATGCCCGAACTATCACTTTACGATTATACCCTTAGGCTCCAAAACACAAACTGAACTCTCGGATCACCTAATCTATATTATCTACATCCAAGGGGTCTAAATCTCTCCTTCCCCAACGCCCATAGCCTTATGATAATTGATCATCGGGTCACGGCCCCGAATTAGGAAACGATTCAAAATAGGGTGTTACATACCTGTTACATATGTAGACATATTGTGTTTGGGTTGAGGCGGTCCTGCTTTGTGCTGAAGGCCAAGACACCCGGGGCAGTCCAGATAGGTTGTAGGCCCTGCGAGGCCGTCCAGTTATGCCGAAGGCCCATAGAGCGGTCCAGATATGTTGTAGGCCCTATGAGACGGTCCAGTCAGGCTAAAGGCTCATATTCGCATGCTTTTGTTCGTTATATTGTGTGATGGGGAACTCACTAAGCTTTGGCTTACAATTTCAGTTTATTATTTCAGGTACTTCGGATGATCGTGGGAAAGCAAACGCTTGATCGTGCACGTCTTTCTATTTTCATTATATTTACTCTCAGGACAATCTGATATGATTTTACTTTTGAAACGATGGTTTTTCTTGTAAACGATTATGGAAAATGATTGTTTTTGAAAAGTTGAAATTTATTGTGATTTTTGGGATGTTACAAGATGTCAGAATACCACAATTATATAACAGATTACGATCATATATCATTATGTCCTATTGAACATCTACACAAAACGGAAGCTAAATCCATAAAATCACCAAGAATAGCTTTGGTTTTTTCAGAAATATTTAGGTATCAGCTATACGTTTCTAACAACAATTTTAATCCAAAACCCATTATTACAAAGGTAGTTTTCTATTTGCACTGTATATTTCAATGTGCAAGAGTGGGTGGTCTTAAAAAACATGTTAAATCTTAATTGCAAAAATTTAACAAAAAAAAGACAATATACTTGGCCGTCTTTGTCCAAGATTGCACGTTTGTGAAAAGTAAGACGTTATATTTTGTGCTTCTTTAATTTTTGTAAAAGCAAATGTTTTGTTTGCAACAAAAGGCACAAAAAATGGTTTGAAATAGGTAAATTACACTAATCGTCCTCGTGCAGTGTTAAAAGGCACGTTCGGTCCCTATTTTCAAAAATTAACTCGGATCGTCCCTGGGTTGCACTTTTCTTAAACGGTTAGTCCTTATCGTCGTTAGTGTTGCCGTTTAAATACCCTGCGTGCCTTGGGTATTTTTGTCTTTTTAAGTCAAATACCCTTCACCTATTTAGAACATACACTCACTTTATCTCTCTCATCTATGTGTGCATATGAGGGAGATTTTCGGGGAAACCCCTTCTTAAAACCTAGGACCTGCAACTAATAACTAATAGCCGGAGGAAAAAAATAGACGGAGACGATGACGCGTGACTAGGATAGAAGGAAGGGGAAGGGGGATGGTGGTTCTACGCCCTTTAAAAGGGGGTTAAATCGTTCTCAGGGACTCCCTTATCGTTCTATACTATACTCTTCCTTGACAATCGGACGATCACCTGAAGAACAACAATGGTTATTGCTCCCATTGATTCACCAGCATCTCACAACAGTCGCAAATGGTCTATTGCTCCATCTGCAGATCCCGATTATGTACCTTCGAATGCCAATCCGTCACTTTCGCCACCTCACACACCTCGTGGGGCTGCCAAGCGCTAATCCGGCTCTGATAATACTTTTCAGACCACTATGGTCCCTTCAAGGCTCCGTTCCTTCTCATCCCGATGTGGATTCCTCTACTACCTTTCTCCAGTCGCTACTCATTATTCCCTTCTTTCTTTACACCGTTCATCATTTTCAGAACCAGGTAACCAAATCTTACCCCCCAAAACGATTTTAGGTCGTTTTCATTCGACTTCTTCCTCCAATCGAGCTAAACATCCTCGATCTATATTCGAGCAAATTACTAACCTTGATGATGCCCTCAAACTGTTCGATGAAATGACACATAAACAACCTCTCCCTTCAGTTCTTAAATTCAACAGGTTGTTGCAAGCTGTTACCAAAATGAAACATTATTCTTGTTCGATTGAACTTTTTAAACAAATGAATCTCATTTGTGTTCCTGTGAATGCCTACACTATTAGCATTGTGATCAAGTGCTGTTGCCAAATGCACCGTACAAGTGAAGGATTTGCAGTCTTAGGCTATGGCTTCATACGCGATATATTACCGAATGTATGCACCTTTATCACACTCTTAAATGGACTCGTTCTAGAAGATAGAATCCTCAAAGCTGAAAAGTTATTGAAGAAGCTTATCAAAGAAGGACTTTGTAAGCCTAATGCAATTATGTACAACACTATGATTAAAGGGCTTTGCAGATTTGGTAATAATGATACGGCCATTGCTTTGCTTAAATTAATGGATGGAAGGGGTTGTAAACCTGATGTGGTCACATATAACACCATCATTGATAGTCTTTGCAAGGACAAAATGGTCGATGACGCTTTAAAGCTCTTCAATGAAATGGTCTTCCACAAAGGCATCCTACCAGATGTTGTGACTTACAATTCTTTGATTCATGGCCTTTGTAACTTATGTCGTTGGGATGATGTCTCTAATTTGCTCAAAGAGATGGAGGACCAAAGTATCTCTCTAGATGTTCGGACATATAGTATATTAGTTGATGCACTTTGCAAGGAAGGGAAGGTGGAGGATGCAAATTGTATTATCAACTTAATGATTGAAAGAGGGATTGATCCTAATGTAGTGACTTACAGTTCGCTTATTGATGGGTATTGTTTGCGAGGTGAAATGAGCAAAGCAAACGAAGTTTTTAATTTGATGGGGTCTCAAGGTCTGGTCCCTGATATTCTCACTTATAATAGTTTATTGAATGGGTATTGTAAGAAATTGTTGATAGAAGAGGCCATGCATTTGTTTAATGAAATAACTAAAAAAGGTATGAAACCCGATGTGATCGCTTACAGTACCATGATACAGGGATTGTTTCGAGTTGGACGTGGTAAAGTTGCATATGATCTGTTTCATGAGATGCGAACAAACAAACTGATGCCAAATGAAAGCACTTACACAATAGTCTTGAAGGGTCTATGCAACAACAAACAAGTGGACGAAGCACTCTCTTTGTTCCATTTGATGGGTGGCAACAAGCTAAATTCCTATATAAAGGTGTACACTATACTCATTGATGGTGCAAGTAGAACTGGGAAACTTGATGTTGCAAGGGTTCTTTTTAATGACCTAAATGTTAAAGGTTTGCAACCTCATGTTAGGACATATAATGTGATGATTAATGGTTTTTGCCGCGAAGGTCTTGTGGGGGAAGCAAAAGAGTTGTTTCTTAAGATGGAAGAAAGAGGTTTCCTGCCAAATAGCGTGACTTACAACGTTCTTCTCCAAGGATTACTTAAAAACCAACAACATGATACCATAGAGATGCTTTTACTGGAAATGGAAGGGAAAGGTTTCTCAGTTGATGCTACAACTGTATCGCTATTACTTGATCATATAAAAGCTAGATCTTTAGATGCTTCTTTGCTTAAGCTGATTGGTAAGCTTGTGCCAAAAGAAGGAGTGGATGCTCTTTGATTTACAGTATAAATGGCATCTTGGTTTGTAAAATGTGTGCTTTTGCCCATCCTTGGTTTGCAAGTTTGTTATGGTTCAATTATCTTTTTTGTCATATTTTGACTCGCTCTCTGTTGTAATCTGCTTACTTTTTCAATTTTATCACATTTATGTTGAACGTTACATTTACATATGTTGCATATTTTAATATCTACTCAATATTTGTCTATTATTATCAGCCTTTTAATACGACCATATATATTTCAGTGTATGTTTGTATTTAACTTGATGAACTCAGCATGTAATTTCATGCTTTTCCCTGAGTATTGCTAACATGAAGGGTAATATGCTTTATTATGGAATTTGGATGAACATAAGAATAATAAAACGTTTTTAATTTGATGTTATGGATGCTTGGATGTTTCATAAAAAGGAGAGGCCACAAAATATCTTTTAATTATTCTTGGCTGATAAACTTTATTGGTGATATGGTTGGTTCATGTGTTGGTATTGGAGAAAGGATGAAATTAAAGTTTTTGGCTGATAAACTTTATCCTTTCTCCAATACCAACACATGAACCATATCACCAATAAAGTTTATCAGCCAAGAATAATTAAAAGATATTTTGTGGCCTCTCCTTTTTATGAAACATCCAAGCACTCCATAACATCAAATTAAAGACGTTTTATTATTCTTATGTTCATCCAAATTCCATAATAAAGCATATTACCCTTCATGTTAGCAATACTCAGGGAAAAGCATGAAATTACATGCTGAGTTCATCAAGTTAAATACAAACATACACTGAAATATATATGGTCGTATTAAAAGGCTGATAATAATAGACAAATATTGAGTAGATATTAAAATATGCAACATATGTAAATGTAACGTTCAACATAAATGTGATAAAATTGAAAAAGTAAGCAGATTACAACAGAGAGCGAGTCAAAATATGACAAAAAAGATAATTGAACCATAACAAACTTGCAAACCAAGGATGGGCAAAAGCACACATTTTACAAACCAAGATGCCATTTATACTGTAAATCAAAGAGCATCCACTCCTTCTTTTGGCACAAGCTTACCAATCAGCTTAAGCAAAGAAGCATCTAAAGATCTAGCTTTTATATGATCAAGTAATAGCGATACAGTTGTAGCATCAACTGAGAAACCTTTCCCTTCCATTTCCAGTAAAAGCATCTCTATGGTATCATGTTGTTGGTTTTTAAGTAATCCTTGGAGAAGAACGTTGTAAGTCACGCTATTTGGCAGGAAACCTCTTTCTTCCATCTTAAGAAACAACTCTTTTGCTTCCCCCACAAGACCTTCGCGGCAAAAACCATTAATCATCACATTATATGTCCTAACATGAGGTTGCAAACCTTTAACATTTAGGTCATTAAAAAGAACCCTTGCAACATCAAGTTTCCCAGTTCTACTTGCACCATCAATGAGTATAGTGTACACCTTTATATAGGAATTTAGCTTGTTGCCACCCATCAAATGGAACAAAGAGAGTGCTTCGTCCACTTGTTTGTTGTTGCATAGACCCTTCAAGACTATTGTGTAAGTGCTTTCATTTAGCATCAGTTTGTTTGTTCGCATCTCATGAAACAGATCATATGCAACTTTACCACGTCCAACTCGAAACAATCCCTGTATCATGGTACTGTAAGCGATCACATCGGGTTTCATACCTTTTTTAGTTATTTCATTAAACAAATGCATGGCCTCTTCTATCAACAATTTCTTACAATACCCATTCAATAAACTATTATAAGTGAGAATATCAGGGACCAGACCTTGAGACCCCATCAAATTAAAAACTTCGTTTGCTTTGCTCATTTCACCTCGCAAACAATACCCATCAATAAGCGAACTGTAAGTCACTACATTAGGATCAATCCCTCTTTCAATCATTAAGTTGATAATACAATTTGCATCCTCCACCTTCCCTTCCTTGCAAAGTGCATCAACTAATATACTATATGTCCGAACATCTAGAGAGATACTTTGGTCCTCCATCTCTTTGAGCAAATTAGAGACATCATCCCAACGACATAAGTTACAAAGGCCATGAATCAAAGAATTGTAAGTCACAACATCTGGTAGGATGCCTTTGTGGAAGACCATTTCATTGAAGAGCTTTAAAGCGTCATCGACCATTTTGTCCTTGCAAAGACTATCAATGATGGTGTTATATGTGACCACATCAGGTTTACAACCCCTTCCATCCATCAATTTAAGCAAAGCAATGGCCGTTTCATTATTACCAAATCCGCAAAGCCCTTTAATCATAGTGTTGTACATAATTGCATTAGGCTTACAAAGTCCTTCTTTGATCAGCTTCTTGAATAACTTTTCAGCTTTGAGGATTCTATCTTCTAGAACGAGTCCATTTAAGAGTGTGCTAAAGGTGCAGACATTCGGTAATATATCGCGTTTGAAGCCATAGCCTAAGACTGCAAATCCTTCACTTGTGCGGTGCATTTGGCAACAACACTTGATCACAATGCTAATAGTGTAGGCATTCACAGGAACACAAATGAGATTCATTTGTTTAAAAAGTTCAATCGAACAAGAATATTGTTTCATTTTGGTAACAGCTTGCAACAACCTGTTGAATTTAAGAACTGAAGGGAGAGGTTGTTTATGTGTCATTTCATCGAACAGTTTGAGGGCATCATCAAGGTTAGTAATTTGCTCGAATATAGATCGAGGATGTTTAGCTCGATTGGAGGAAGAAGTCGAATGAAAACGACCTAAAATCGTTTTGGGGGGTAAGATTTGGTTACCTGGTTCTGAAAATGATGAACGGTGTAAAGAAAGAAGGGAATAATGAGTAGCGAAGATACCTTTGGATTTGTTTAAGGGATGGGAGACGATAAAAGAAGCACCATTTTTTTGAATCGCCATCAGCGCCGCAAACATCTGCAACTGGAACGGAGCTTTAAAACTTGGGCTTACGATCAAAGAGAGACTTTAGGCTTAGGGAATGAGGAGCGGCATGGCTGGGCGTATGCAAGGTGAGAGTTTTGTACATCAGCATAGATTTTTGAAAAAATATTTACCAATTGATTGTACTTTGAATTTTATTTACCAAAACATAGGAAACGTTCTTTTAGCACTTTTTTATTTAAAAAGGTAAACATAAAAGCCCCCACAACCCAAAGATGCTATTCGTTTTTTTTTTTTTTTTTTTTTTTTTTTTTTTTTTTTTTTTTTTTTTGACAAATCTACATCTGTAGACTTCTGCAGTAGAAGAGATGGACCAAACATTTGCAGTCTGAATTAAAAAGATTGTTTATTTTTTTAACATCTGCAAACTACCAAAATAAACTAAAATCTAAATAAACTGATTTTTTTTAAATTCAAAATTGTTTTTTAATATTTTAATGACTTTATTATAAATAATTAACAAATCTAAATCAACTTTTATGTATTATTATATAAAAAGTGAAAATAAAATGGTACAAATTAACGTATATATTTGATAAAAACAATAATTTTGGTCGTAAAGTTATACTTAAACATTGTAATTAGGGATCAAAGAATTTAATATATAAAATGGATGGAAATAAACTTCGATTTTAAAATGAAAATTTTCATTTTACTTTTTCAATTAAACCAATTAAAAATGTACCATAAATATTTTTCCCAATAAATTGATGATACTTTATTAAATAATGTTTTATAAAATTTGGCACAAAAAATATAAGACAATATTATGATTTTTTTTTCATATTTATATAAACAGCTTCAACGACCGATATTATAATAAATCTTTATTTATAGATTTGTCAAAAAGATCATGTTTGTGTCATCGAACATTTTTCTTAAAGTATTGTAACTTTTTTTTTCCAAATTGTTTATCATTAATAAAGTTGAAATAAATATAAGTTAAAAAAACAAAAAAAAACAAAGATATATGTGTTTATCATTAATAAAGTTGGAATAAATATAAGTTAAAAAAAACAACAACAAAGTTATATGTGTTTATTATTAATAAAGTTGGAATAAATCTAAGTTAAAAAACTAAAAAAAACAAAGATATATGTGTTTTTTTAGGCTAGAAGATGTTTGAAGAGGTTAGAAGACTATGATCCACATTTACGTCAAGAAGAGGACACGCAGACCTTTTTAGGTCTGCAGTCTTCGAAAAAACAAACAATCTACGAAGGTTGATGTCTGGTCTGCGTGGCGCAGACAGAAGAGGCCAAGAAGATCTGCAGACAAAAAACAAACAACACCAAAATAATTAATGTCGGAACTAGGAAACCACCGTTAACCCACACTTTTCATTTGCCTCGTTGGAAAATCAGATGCTATAGTTTTTTCATCAATTCCAAAATATATATAAGAGATTCCACATACTCACATAAAGTAATATATGTACATAGCAGACGTTGTACACGAGGGAGGGATTTGTCCCTTGGTGGTACGGCGGGGGGAGAGGAAGTTCTCAAGCTGCTTAGAGAGGAGAAAAGGATTCAACGATAATCTGCTTTGAAGTCGACTGTGATGGTTCAACTTTCATCGTTGTGTCCACGAAAGGCAATGACCAACTGCAACTGATGATCTCCTCAGTGGGGTTTTCCGGCTTCAACTGATAGATCCAGGTTAAGATTCTCGATGGAGAAAATGGATGGAATAAATTTTAAAATCAGTGCAAAATTGAGATTTCGATACAAAAAGAAATCATCCCTCTACTGAAACAACATCAACATTCGTTGAGTATATCTTCAAAATTACAATGCATAGTCAATTTATTTATAGATATATGATATACGATCAATATTAAACAACTTACAAATCCAGAAACTTCAACAAAAGAGAATACATGAACATAGAATATTGCAAGCACCGGAGAGAAAAAGAATAGATATTATTGATATTACTGCAAGTCCCGAGAAAAACAAAGTGACGTTGAAATTAAACCGAGCACAAACAAATACAACCCGGGAAAAAAACGGTCGACCGACATGGGAGGTACAATAGTGGTATGTGGTGCTATCTACAAGAACGACTTACCGACGATGGAAAGAGAGGTTGTAGTTAGTGTCGGCGATGGCAGGCATAGGGAGGTGGAAGAAACCGACGGGGAGATGTATGAGAAAACATGTTTATATAACGCTTAAAGGGAACGAGGACAATTAGGTTTTTTTTTGCTTTTAAAAAGCTACAATTAATGTGTAATTAAATTTCAAAGTACCTCTAATTGGTAAATATATTTTTCAGCTACAAGACTTTCAGAAAATACTCGTCATTTGTAACAGTTTTATGTTGTTTGGCTGGTTTTATTTTATAAGTTTGACTTATTGACATGTTAGTTTTTGAAAAATTTATTTACTTATGTATAGTTTTAAAAGTATTTATTAAATAAGGTGATTTTGCTATATAATAAATAGAAAATCATGCTAAAATATTGTTTATTGAACGAGGGAAGTCGCAAGCCGGAAGAACTTACCAACAACATCATCTCTGATTCATCTCTCCGGTCGTACCTCCATCTTCGGCCACAGTTCCAGACGGCTACCACTCAACCTCTGGCCATACCAGACTTAGACTCCATATCTGTCACTCCTCCAGCCTGCAATTCCATCTCAGGTTCAGCTTCGATTATAATACTTTCATCTTTGATTTATGAATGCAATATACCAAATGATGATTATAGCAAGAAGATGATTCTGATTAGATTCTAAGAACTTTGATTTTGAATTTTGTTTACTACTTATGAGAATTGAATGAAATTATGTTTGTTTTTGATTGGTTGAATATAGTAGAGATGTTTATTATGTTTGGTTTTTTATTCGTCTCTACCAAACATAAAAAGACTATATTACGCTGATTTATTTATTTATTTATTATGCATCTCATAAGAAAGTTATTAAGTATATATATGGGTCCCATCCCTTTTCTACCAGTACCATGAGAACACCACTTACACATACCATATCTCACTCAGTTACTCCATCGGCAATAAGACCATCACCTCCGCCTTTCACCACCCCTCCGCCTTTCAGCACCGCTCCATTAAACCATCAGCAGAACAAACCGAGAGATATGTGCCTAGAACAAGATGCTCAGAAACACATGATCTAAGTCAAAATTGATTTTAATCCATAACATATACTTGAATCTAGAAATACTATAGTGAACCGGAACATATACTCGAAAATGAGGATCTTGCATTTGATTTTAACCCATACATATCATAGAATCGTGAGCCCAAATGCAATACACCAAATGCATTATCGATTCAACAACCCCAAAAATAATTTGATGCAAAATCTAATGTAAGGTCGATTTTGATGGGTTTTCTAGGTTATAAAAAAATTCATGTGGCGCAAAAACACTTAAACCCTTAAGTTCACATGCAACCTAGAAAGGATCTATGTTTTCTCTATTGATAGCAATAAACAATGAACATCAAGAAACCCTAGAGAGAGGCTATGAAAATCAAAACTAACATAAAGATTAGGGTTACATACACTTGGATTATTATAGCAAATAATCAAATTAAATCCTCTTGTAGTTCCTTGGAAAGCAAGCACCAAAAGCTTGAATGTCTCTAATGGCTTGTACTCAAAACCCTAATAACTAGAAGACTTGAGGAGAGAGGAGGTTTAGATCAAATTTTCGGCTCTTGAGAGTATGAATGAGTGGACAAAAACTAGAGACCCTATTTATAGTTGATAAGAAAGCCTTGGATAACCCTAATTCGAATATAATAATAATATCTTGAATTAGGTAATTATCCAAAAGGATTAATCTAGAAACCCTAAAAGCCCTAGCCAAAATTGGCCATGCTTAGAAGATTCTAGAAACCCTATTTTTCTCAACTATTGAACAATTACAACTTAGTCCTTACACGTCCTATTAGTTATAAATAACCTGAAATTAATTCCAATTAATTTTTGATTAATTCTAAATTAATTAGAACTATTTCAAATTAATATATTAATCATATAATATATTAATAAATTATTTATTTCAATTTATTAATCATATAATAAATTAACAAATCATCCTTTTTCTCCAAAAGTCATTTTATTCAGTTACTGGTTATGAGAGCAACCTAAAAAAGACTTTGCTTCTAATTCAAGAATATACCAATTTAGTTATTGGCTTAGACACCTTAATCCAACAATCTCCCACTTGGATAAGTCTGTGAATACAATTGCAAGTATAGACCTTGGACTAACTAGCAAAGCATGCTTTCCAAAGCCACTGCCAAACTCTGATTCAAACCAGTCGTCGGCCCTAAGATAAGTGATCAACTATTCCTTCATTCTTCATGATATCGTATGATATTACGTTTTATAACATCAAGTTACTCATGCGTTAATGCAACACCAATACACAACCGATATGTAAATTACAACTTATGAATCTTCGTTTGAAGAATAGTAGATATTATCATCTTACAATTTGTAACGCTTGGATTTGGGTATGTTCCTTATTTTCCCTTTTATATTATTGGTCCTTAGAGTAGTACGCGGGGGGTACCACATGGTACGCTTAGCGTACTAGCTGAGAAGCTAGTACGCGGGGTGTACCACATGGTACGCTTAGCGTACTAAGGTGGAGTTTGATTGCGGGTGCGAGGCCTCGTACGCTGGGCGTACGAGGGTTACGCTTAGCGTACGTGGAGGATAAGAAACCCTAATTTTAGGGTTTTCACCTTATATAAGGTCCTTAAGTCCCTAGGGCTGGCCTCTTTACCAGCCTTCGTTGCCTTAAAACCCTAAATCTCTACCCTTAGCCTCCATTTTTGTATCTTTGAGCTCTTAAGAAGAAGTTGGTGGCTATTTTGCTCATTTTGAAGGGAGTGAGGAAGATTGAAGGTGCATTGTTTAGTGTGAAGCTTAGAGTGTTGGATTAGGTGTCTAAGCCCATAACTATAATTGGTATGTACTTGACCCGAGAGT